AGCCTGTTAAAAGCTTTCTCATCTGGTGTTCGCGGCCATGCACAAGGGGTGGTGGTGGGGGTGGTGGGGGGGGGGGCGTGCCAGGCATTCACACGGCATACGTTCAGCTTCTTCATTACTACGACCACTACCGCTTTGGCCGCCAGTCAGAGGGGCGACCTTGCTCCAGGTCGACGTGCGCGGAGGGAGGTAGGAGAGAGAGAGAGAGAGAGAGAGAGAGAGAGAGAGAGAGAGAGAGAGAGAGAGAGAGAGAGAGAGAGAGAGAGAGACAGATTGATTGATTGATTGATGGGGGAGGGGTTATGCATTTATATGATTATGTATGTGTGTGTGTGTAGAGAGAGAGAGAGAATATATATATATATATATATATATATATATATATATATATAGAGAGAGAGAGAGAGAGAGAGAGAGAGAGAGAGAGATAGCGAGCGATAGAGACAGACAGACAGACAGACAGAGACAGGGAGAGAGGGAAAGAGACAGGGAGAGAGGGAAAGAGACAGGGAGAAGTAAATGAATATACAGAGAATGAGAGAACTAATACTAATATGTAAGTAAAAGGAATAGACAGATGAAGAGAGAGACAGAAAGAGAAAGAGAAAGCTCAGTTGAATAAATGCCAGGAGACTTCAACTAAATGGAAAATACGTGAAAATCAACCGCGAGAACTTAGAATTTAATCAGTTAAAAACCCAATAGCCGTAACAAGCAGTTATAGGCCAAATCAGTCCAAATCCTTTTCTTTTCCCAATTATTACTAGAGTTTTGTAAATTCTAACTCGTTTTTTTTTCAAATGTTTTCCTAATAATCTTAAAGTTTAGTTTTTTTTTCTCTTAGTCCACAATTCTGGTTCCAAGAAATTTCTGAAGACCCAAATGTTGCAACAAAACCGACACAAGCGAAAAGCACAAACCAGGTATTTAAATCTTAATGAGAACTTACCTGTTGTTGGGCGGAACAGGTTGCACGAGACCTGTGTATGCAAGTCAATGTGTGAATGCACTTTTATACACATGCAGATATATATGCGTGTGTGTGTGTGTATCTAGTTGTGCATGGGTATACTTGTACATACATATTCTTTTCCCTTTTCGTCCCAATACTTTACCATAGTGTTATATTATTTTTGATGCCCAGCACATTTATTTGTTCAAATCATTAACCATTAACTATTAAACACGCATACAAAACAACACAACACATAACATTATATATATATAATATATATATATATATATATTATATATACATATATGTATGTATTTGTTTGTGTGTGTGTATGTTATATGTATGTATGTATGTTTGTATGTAGGGGTGCATAGGAGTGAGTGTATGTGTTAAAAACCTTTGCAGAAAAAAAAAAACGATTAACATGGGAAGACTCCTAAGATTGCCCTTTTAATGATATAGAGAGAGAGAGAGAGAGAAAGAGAAAGAAAGATAGGAAAGAAGAAAGAAAAGAAAGAAAGAAAGAAAGAAAGAAGAAAGAAAGAAAGAAAGAAAGAAAGAAAGAAAGAAAGAAAGAAAGAAAGAGAAAGAAAGAAAGAAATAGAGAGAGAGAGAGGAAAAAATATAGGCCAGAGGAAAACAAAATGCGTTAGGCCTATGCTCTGCCAGGGTGAAAGGGGGGTTGCAAATATTTGATGTGGTTGGCTGACTGTTAGAAATTCCACCCCCATGTTGCCAACAAACAAACAAAGTGTTTTTCTTGATTATTTTTTATATTACGTATTCGATATTGTATGGAGATTAGCATGCATCATGTGTACGTAGAAATGCATGCTTGTTTTGTATTCATAATGTATGAATAATGTCACACACATACTCAAGCATGTACACACACACAACACACACACACACACACACACACACACACACACACACACACACACACACACACACACACACACACACACACATATATATATATATATATATATATATGTGTGTGTGTGTGTGTGTGTGTGTGTGTGTGTGTGTATGTGTGTGTGTGGTGTGTTGTGTGTGTGTGTGTGTGTGTGTGTGTTGTGTGTGTGTGTGTGTGTGTGTGTGTGTGTGTGTGTGTGTGTGTGTGTGTGTGTGTGTGTGTGTGGTGTGTCTGTGTGTGTTTGTGTGTATTTATTTTATTTATACATACATTTATATGCCTATCTATCTATCTATCTATCTATCTATTTATTCTATCTATATATTATAATATATATATATTTTATATAATATATGTATATATATGCATATATAATATAATATATATATTATATATGTATATATATATATTATATATATCTATATTATTATTATATATATACATATAGTATGTATACATATCATACATATATACATATATGTATATATATGTATAACATATATTTGTATATATATACATACATTACATAGGCTACACACACACACACACACACACACACACAGACACACACACACACACACACACACACACACACACACACACACACACACACACACACACACACACACACACACACACACACACCACACACACACATACGTACATACATATATCATACATACATGCATACATGCATAATGTACACACACACACACATACATACATACATATATGTATATATAAGTGTGGTGTGTGTGTGTGTGTGTATGTGTGTGTGTGTATGTGTGTGTTGTGTGTGTGTGTGGTGTGTGTGGTGTGTGTGTGTGTGTTGTGGTGTGTGTGTGTGTGTACCATATATATTACATATAGTATATATAGTATATACTATATACATATAAACATATATTATTTTACATACATATTCACGTATTGATATATAAATACTACATATATATGTTGTGTGTCGGTATATATACTAACATATATGTATATATATATGATATATTAATTATATATATATAAACATGCATATATTATGTTATATATTTCCATATATATATAATACTAATTATATATTATATATATATATATAGTATATGTTATAATTATATATCATATATTATACATATACAGCATACACACAACACACACGCTCGACATATTGCAAGTAAGTCCAACAGACCCAGCCCCCGGTACCTACCTCCCTCCCTCCCTCCCTCCTCGAGGCCGGCGCCAAAACCCGACGCGAACAAACCACCTTCCACCCACCCCACCACCCCGCCCCCGCCCCTCTCGAACCGGACAGCGGTGTTTGCGTGTGCGCGCGTTACTCGCCGTTACCGTGCCGTCCTGGAGGAGCTGACGAAGGAGGAAGGGGTGGGGGAAGGGTGGGGGAGGGGGTGGGGGAAGGGGAGGGGGAGGTTGTCTCCGTCGGTCTGGCGGGTTTACGTCATGGCGGTGGACGGTTCTTGTTTATGTTTTTTTTTTATGTTTTATTTTTATTTTATTTGTTATTTTTTTTGTTTATTATTTTTTTAGTTGTGTGTAGTGTCTTTGCTGGTTGGTTTCGATCTCTCCTGTTTGTGAGCGGACAAGACAGAGTCTGTTTGTTTTATTTGTTTATATATTTTTTTCGGTTTCTCTCCCTCCTGCGCATTCTCGTTCTCGCTTTCCTCCTTCCATCCCACTCTCTCTCTCTCTCTTCTCCGTCCTCCCTCCACTTCTCCTTCTCTCTCTCTGCTCTCCTTTCCATCCCTTCCCTCCCATCTCTCTCTCATGATCCTTCCCTCCACCTTCCCATTCTCTCTCCTCTCTCTCATTCCTTCCTCCTCCCATGTCTTCTCTCTTTCTCTCTCTTCTCCTCCTCCTCCATTCTCTCTCTCTCCACTTCCCTCCTCCTCCGCATTCTCTCTCTTTCTCTCTCCTCCTCACCAATTCTCTTCTCGCATCGTGCTTTCCCTCCTCCCTCCCTCCATTCTCGTCTTTCTCTCTCTCTCTCTCATCTTCCCTCCCTGCTCCCATTTCTCTTTCTCTCTTTCCTCCCTCCCCTCTCCATTCTCTTCTCTCTCTCTCCATCCTTCCTTACCTCCCCATTCTCATTCTCTCCCTCTAGCCTCCCCTCCTCTCCTCCCTTCACCATTCTCTCTTCTCTCTGTCTGTCTGTCTGTCACCGTCATGCTCCGCGATGTAGCGTTACTACACTGCGCCGTCTGCCCTTCCACATAATCTAAATAATGTTTCCTCCTAGACGCCACCATACGCCCCTCCCGCCCCTCCAACGTCCCTCCATGCCACCTCCACGTCCCTCCACGTCCTCCACGGCCCCTACTCACGTCCTCCACGTCCCTCCACAGCCCCTCCCGTCCCTCCAATGCCACTCCACGTCTCCACGTCCTCCATGCCCTTACGTCCTCCACGTCCCTGTCCTTGCCACTGCCACGTCCTCATGCACGTTGCCAGACGTCCCTCCATGCAGCTCCCGTCTGGCCCACGTGCCTGCCAGCGCCCGACTTCCCGTTCCACGTCCTCCACGCCCTCTCCCACCGCCGCGTGTCTTGTCGAAGCATAGCCCTCCCTGGCTCCGCTGCCTGTTGAACGCCAGGAATCTGCGTCCCTCCATCCCACCCAGCCGCATCCATTCCTCTCTCGATCCGCCCTTGCCTCTGTTAGCCTCGTCCTCAGACTGCTCCTTTACTTTTCTAGCGATACTATACAGTACATACATAATACAGTACATAAGCATACATACATAATACATACAATACATAGCTGATCTCCATCCATGAGCATTAGAGAGCCATCCATCATGCCATGCCATCCATATTCTCGCATACATAACCATCATAACATACTACATTACATGCGATAATCATACATGACAGAGACGACATACGACCACATACATCGATAACATACATAACATACATAGCAGTACATATCAGTAATTACAGAGAGATAGACATCATACATACAGTACCATACAGAGGACAGACACACACATGACACGTGGTAAATTGAAGCATCAATTCACGGTGACACATATAGAAAGAAAGATGATGGTTTGACCACAAAACGTGAACATGAAGACAAATATAAACAAACGAAAATCCGAGGTTGATTACACTGATGAAGAGGTAAATAAAGGAAATCAAAGAAAGTGGAATAATGATGATAAGATATTAATTGCAGAAGAGAAATGACCTTTGCTTGCCTATCTAGTGTCTTTCCGACTGTCCTTCTGTATCTCTCTCTCTTTATCTATATATATGATCCTCATCTTTCTCGTCTCTCAGTCCCTCTACTCTATCTGTTCTAATTTTTCCTTATCTTTGCATTCTCTTCTCGTCTCTCTCTCTTCTCTCTCACTCACTCATCACGTCAACTTCACGCAGTCACTACTCTGCTCTGCTCTCTTCTCTCTCTCCTCCGGTCTCTCCTCTCTCTCTCGTCCTTCTCTTCTCATCCCTCCGTCAGTCAGTCACTCCTCTCTCTCTCTCTCTCGTCTCGTCTCGATCTCTCTTCTCTCCTCTTCTCTTGTTCTCCCTGACTGGACAAGTTTTTAACTACGGCAGTTTCCTCGTCTCTCTCTCTTTCTCTCTGCTCTTCTCTCTCATCTCTCATTCTCTCTCTCGTCTCTCGGTCTCGTAGTCTCTTCGTTCTTCTTGCTTCGTCTCTGCTTCCTCTCTCTCCCTCATTTCTCTTCCTCTCTCCTCGTT